GCTTAACGACTGAGCCACCCAGGCACCCACCAAGCTTTTTTAAAATGAAGCTTGAATTTAAACTGCATGAGTCTGTAATTCTGGCATGTACTTAATGCACATAATCAGTACTTCCAGAAAATATAAAAAAAAAAATTGAAGTGTGGAAAATGGCCCCCAAAAGAAAGTCAACCTAGGTCTAGGGCTAGGCATGAAGGGAAAAACTAAGTTTAAAAAGTGATTTTCTTAGAACACATACTTTTTTAGGGGTGCCTGGGTGGCTCAGTCAGTTAAGTGTCTGCCTTTGGCTCGGGTCATGATCTCGGGGTCCTGGGATTGAGCCCTGCCATGTCAAGGCTCCCTGCTCAGTGGGGAGTCTGCTTCTCCCTCTCCCTCTGCCCCTCCCCCCTGCTCCTGCTCGCACTCTCAAATAAATAAAATCTTTAAAATATATATATACATATACACACACACATTTTTAATAGATTAAAGGAGTGTCAAATTCTTTCTTTTTTTTTTTAAAGATTTTATTTATTTATTTGACAGAGAAAGACACAGCAAGAGAGGGGACACAAGCAGGGGGAGTGGGAGAGGGAGAAGCAGACTTCTTGCAGAGCAGGGAGCTCAATGTGGGGCTCGATCCCAGGACCCTGGGATCATGACCTGAGCCGAAGGCAGACGCTTAACGACTGAGCCACCCAGGCATCCCAGGAGTGTCAAATTCTGTAGTGATGCAGTTATGATTGTGCCTGTCAATGTCTGGAATGAAAGAAAAAGCCATCTGAAAAACTGCTTTGGGGCACATGGGTTGGGCTGCATCGGGCTCCCTGCTCAGGGGGAAGCCTGCTTCTCCCTCCCCCACTCCCCTGCTTGTGTTCCTGCTCTATCTCTCTGTCAAATTAAAAAAAAAATATATATATATATATTACTGATTTCAAAAGTTTCAGGATATATCCTTTTAAAATACCATTATTAAACTGCATTACAACAAAACTCTTCCATAAAATCACAGGCCAGGGGATGGGGGGGTTAGATGAAACAAGAGTGGCAGAATGTTGGTAACTGTTGAAGCTGAGTATTGGGTACATGGAGACTCATACTATTATTCTCTCTACATGTGTGTATGCTAGATAACATGCTTATA